AAAACCAAGAAATTATCATTGATACCTGGCTCTCATTGTTGACAATATATTTACTTATTTTGTCAATTCTATTATATACACAGTTCCCCAAATGCTAGCACATACATTCATGAAACACAAGCTGGGCATTATGACATGTACCTGTAGTCCCAGCTACTTGGACGACTAAGGCAGGAGGCTCACTTGAGCCCAGGAGTTCGAGGTTTCAGTGAACTATGATTGCATCACTGCACTCCAGCCTGGGTGACAGAGAGAGACCGCATCTCTTAAAAAAGTAAATAAATAAAAGGAAAAGAAAGAAAAATAAAAGGAAAAAAATTTACAAACCAGCATGTAATATTGTTTATAGTTCTTTTTGCCATTAGCCTTAATGTACAATTTCAAAACACCATTTTCTAACTTAGCTTAAATTAGTTCTTCCCTGCCCCTCTCAGTGTGACTGTATTATTCATTTGTAATGAACTTAGTTTCACTTATTTCTGTTTGCATTCTCTTTTCTTCCATCCCTGCATTCTGGTTGATTCTATTTGTTGCATAGAATATTACCATGGTTCTAAAAGTCAGAACTATTTTGAAAAAATACTCAAGCCTCATTACTTTTACTGCTGTTCCCATTATCCTGTTCTCACCCCATTTCTACTGATCTCCTATATATAACTAATCTCATTAGTTTCTTGTTCATTCCTCCAGTTTTTGTTTTTGCAAGACAAAATCAATACTTGTAAATTTTCTTACAGTCCCTTCTTTTTTACCTGAAAGGTAATGCACTATAGATATATGCTCTGTGATCTCTGCTTTTTTCATTTAATATAGACTGGAAATCACTTCATGTCAGTTTATAGATCTCTTTCCCATTCTTTCTTAAACGTGCATGAAACTAAAGTTTGTGGCTCTGCCATGGTTTCTTTGACCCCTCTCCTATATACGGGCATTTAGTTTCTTTCCAAGAAAATGCTGCCATGTGTAATTTGTTTATATGTGTTTTCATATAGTTGGAAGTGTATCTTCAAGGTAAATTCTAGAATTGGAATTACTGGGTCAAAGGTCAGTATATATGAAGTCTTGTTAATATTGCTAAATTGACCTCCAGATGGGTTGTTCTGATTTGCATCTCTATTAATATATTAAGAGTGGCTGTTTCTCTACAGCTTCACAAATAGACTCTGTTGTCATACTGCTTAATTTTTACCAATCTTACAGGTGAGAAATCATATCTTAGTGTTTTATTTTGCATTTATCTAATGAGTATGAATACCTTTTCATACATTTTAGAGCCAGTTTTATACATTTTTGATAAATTGTCAGTTGATATCCTTTCTGAATTTGATAACTTCATACTTTATGATTTTCGTTTTACTTTTTTTCAATTTTATGTAGTCTAATTTATCAATTCTTTCTTTTATTGCCTCTGAATTTTAAGACATAGTTAGAATAACTTTCCCTGTGCTGAAGTTAAAGAAGAATCCATCCATTTTTTTTGTAGTGCTGGTGGGGTTTCATTTTTTTATATTTAGATCCCTGATCAATTTAAACTTTATTCATGTATATATGATGAGAAATATGAATCTAATTTTATCTTCTTGCAAATTTGATCTAGTCTAATTTATTACAATGGTGAGATGCCACTTTTATCAAATACTAAATTTCTATATGTAATTTGATCTGGGCATTCTCTTCTCTCTCATTGATCTATTCGTCTATTAATGTGAAACACTTTTAATTATAGAAACTTGAGATACAATATCACATGTATAGTATAAATCTGTTATACAAAGTTCAAAACCAGTGCTTATTACTTATTTTCAAATGGTTCCACAAATAAAATACATACTGAGATGTAAGAAAAACATGGTAAAATGTTAACAATAATTGGCAATCTAGGTGAAGAATATGCAAAGGGTCATTGAACTATTTTGCTACTTTTCTGTAGGTTTCAGATTTTTCAAAATAAAAGATAGAAAAGAGTTAAAAAAATAGACAAAGCTAATTTATATTGTTTAGAAGTACAAACATGGGCAGTAAAACATAAAATAATTGTCAAAATTCAGAATAGTGCAAACTCTGGGAAGAAAAACATACTTTTGCTGAGGAAGAGCCCCATGGGAAGCTTCTGGTGCTGGCAATTTTTTTCAACTGGGTGTAAATGTATGAACTCTCCTTTATAATTATTTACTATACATATAAATTTTATGCATTTTTTCTGTATATATATTTCACAAGAGAAAAAAGGTAAAAACAATGTGATAAGGTATATAATATACTTTCAAAGAAAAATTGCTATATACATGCTAAACATTATTATAAAAAATTAAACTGCTTTTGCTTTGTAACAAGCAAACATAAGTGTGGGGGCTTTTATTATGTGAGTAATTTACTTGAGATCAATCTATCAGAAGGCACTTATCAAGGACCAGTTTTTGAAGCTAGCAATATATTAATAATCATGTCATCTTACTTTTACATGAGATAGTCTTTATACAACCATCATCAATTCTGAATCTTGTTTAGTTTTATATGAGGCAATACATTCTTCTAAATAATTCTCACGAACTGCAAGATGGTACTCTAATATTCATTTTAACAGATAGTCAAGCATATACAACTTAACAATTTGTTGTAAGAAAAGTCTGGACTGGGCATGGTAACATATGCTTGTAGTCCCGGCTACTCAGGAGGCTGAGGTGGGAGAATCATTTTGAGGCTAGGATTTCAAGACCAGCCTGGGCAACATAGAAAGACCCCCCCATTTCAAAAAAAAAAATAAGAAAGAAGAAAAACTTCCGGACGAAAGTTTCATAGCTATTTAAATATCATACACCATTTATATTGTTAATGTATAAATTTTGCCTATTTTCTATAGCTTTTTCTGATTTCCCAATTGGAATTTCATAGTATTTTTTTGTCAGATACCCAAAGTCAAAAGTTGGTCAGAATTGTATGTTGTCAAACTGACTTTTAATAGAGTGATGTTAATTCACTTGATTGTCATTTTCTGTGTCATTTAAACCAATATGAAAATCTAAATCATTTTCTTCATTCCTTCTGCAGCTCCTTCTATGGTTGGAATGTAGATTATTTTTAATATTTTTTTTTCTGTTCTTTATTGAATAACGATGTCTTCTTTCTTTCCACATTTTGCACAAACTTCAAGTTCATAGGCACGTGGTCTACACATTATGTAACTAGCCCGGCCGGCTCCACGAACAAATTTCAATGACCCTTACATTTTTTTTTTTTTTAATAATTCTTTCCCTTAACTAACTCCTTGACCTTTTAAGTTGTTTCCCAGAAATGGTGAATTTTCTCCAAGACAAAGACTTGAGATTCTGTTAGGTTATTAAATATGAAATTTCTAATTTCCTTAAGTACTAAGTTTGACAGTTGATATCTCCGACATTTCACTTTGACACTTATTGTCTTATTTTTATTGTGGAAGTACATCCTCAGTCTTTCAAACACATGGTTTGTGATTGTCTTTCAAAATTTTTTTAGAGAAATTTTTGTGAAACCATGGATAAGTCAAAAACTTGCGCCATTTTCGAATATGAGTTTCATCGTGGAACCATTACAGCTCTAAATATCAAAGAAGTGTTTGGGAAGGATGTGACTAATGAACACACAGTGTGTCGATGGTTTGAGAAGTTCCGTTCTGGTGATTTTAATCTTGAAA